GCGGGGACCCCTGGGGCACCATGTCTTACAAGCACTGCCCTGGGCAGAGGGTATGGGCGGGCAGCCCAGGCCAGCAGCGGGGCCTTCGGGTTGGGTTTGACCATTCAAACTAACGCCTTCATTTCTCTCCCATGCTTTCTCCTCCGGCCAGGAGCGGAAGGTACATGCCCTTTCTGCTATCTTTGCTTCTTAGCGCTTTTGAGTTGTGTGTGTGTGTGAATTCTTCTGTCCTCTCTTTGGGAAATAGGCTTTCTGTGTGTGGGTGGGGCTGTAGCTGGGAGAGTGTGCTGTGTGGGGCTGGGGTGGAGCCTCTGGGCCTTACCCCACCCTCCCTCCCTCTCTTGCAGGTTTTCATAGAGCTGAATCACATTAAAAAGTGCAATACAGTTCGAGGCGTCTTTGTCCTGGAGGAATTTGGTAATTACACTATTTTGCTCTTAGGTCTGGACTCACATGGCAGTAACTCAAACCTCGGAGCTCCAGAGGAGGGTCTAGGGCCAGGGAGAAGGAGAACCTCTGTAGAGAGGTCAGGAGGAGCAGGAGTGACAAGGAAGAAAAGGGACCTCTGAGATGAGAGCAGGGAAGTAGAAGGGAAAAACAGATAATGGATCGCAGAAGAGGCAGTGGGTTTCGAGTTTAGAGGTGGTCCTGAAGCATCTCAGCAAAGTAGCAACACCTCCTTGTGCTGAGTCAGCCAGTAGTCAGAAAGTTGGGGACAGAGCAGACTGGCAAGCTCTTCTATGTCTGTGTCACCTGCTGCAATCTTTCTAGCAGCCCAGTGCGCCACCCAGCCTCCCTGGTGCCACTCTGGTCTCCACCTGGTCTCTGTGCCAGATGAAGGGCATGGGGCATCACAGGCAGACTCACTTGAGGGGCACAGGAGCCTAGCGGGCCTCAAGGACAGAAGGGGCAGCTGTAGCCGGAAGTTGGGACCAGCGCTAGCGAGTGGTGTAGTGGGTTCTCACCCGGGGGCTTTGAGTTCCTGCTGTGTTTGTGCTTCATTCTTTTGTGCCCCTCATCGCTGCTATGAAAACCTTCGTTCTCCAGCAGGTAAAGTGACCTCGGCTCGTGCTGCCTCTCCCCAGGTCTCTGCCTTGGGCCCTGCCATGGGTGGGTGGGCTCCCTTCAGCCGAACCAGCTGCTCACACTGCCAGCTCGTCTCTTCCTTTCTCCCCCGGACTCTTCCTTCCTCCCTTGCCTCCCCGCTCCCACCGGCTCACTGGTTCTGACGTTCCTCCCCTGTGTGCTCCCTTCTCTCTTCTGTCAGAGAGATACTTAGGGGAATCTTCCAACTTGGGAGAATGGCCTTGGGCTTCTTGATCTACCTTTGATGAATTTATTCCCCACCTGCCCTGGGTTCCCCCAAATTCTACCTCCCAGGGTCAGAAGAAGGTGCGACCAGTTCTCCTCCTGCCTTTTCTGGCCCCCCGGGGAGAGGCCAGGCCTTCTGTTCCCAGTCTCAAGGGGCCATGATGATGGCTGAGCCTGGGGGCCTACTCCTTCCTCTGGCCAAGCAGAACCCTGGCATGGCTGGGGCGGGGGGACTCTCACTCTTGCCTTCCGGGCTATGGACATGTGTGTATCTTGCCTGATGCTCCCTGTCACCTCCCTCCCTGGGTGCTGTACTCGCCTGTCTTCTGCTGGGTGTGTCGCTCCAGAGCCCTCAGACGCTCTCCCTCACACAGGCAGGCCTGGGCTTCTCCTGCCACTCAGGGAAGGACACTTCCATGTCCTGAGGGTTTAGTATTGAGTTACCTCTTCATCCAGCCTCGAGACCCTCTATGTAGGGGGCTGGGAATAAAGGGAACTGTGTTTGACATGACCAGACTTTCAGGCTGGTGACAAGACGAGCTCACAGGTGTCTCAGTAAAGTTGGACACACGCTAGAGACAGCTCTCTTCTCCCAGCCAAATCCTGGGAATTCTCCACTGCAGCTCCTCAGGGGCCCTGGACAGTAGCCGTGACCAGGCTGGTGAAAGGCCCGCCCCTCCCATCAGGGGCTTTCAAAGAAGTGGGTGGAATCACAGCCATCAAGTAAAAAAGCCACTGCGGACGGCAGAGGCCTAGCTGAGGAGGCTAGGGCCACGTCCTCCCAGTTGGCAGGATCTGGACAGAGCCTCTGGTGGCCTCTGCCCTGTCATAGCCTAAGCTGCTGCAGCCACTGTGAGAGGCCGCAGAGGGGAAGGGGACCCTGGCGCCGGGCGCTGCCGCCTGGGGGAGCATGACACTACTGCTCTTAGTGTTGAACTTTCTGTTTTGTCTCTTGCCCGTCCGGTTTTAGTTCCTGAAATTAAAGAAGTGGTGAGCCACAAGTACAAGACACCAATGGTGAGTGTGCTGCCCAACCCCGACAGGCCACAGTCTGCGCAGGGCTCCCTGGGACCTCCAGACAGGAGGAGGGGTGGGCCCTCGAGTGCACAGGGGTGAGTGGGGACTCAGTCTAGTTGCCAAAGGTTCAACTCCAGCTGAAACAGGTCTTCAGCCCTGGGAGACAGGCACACACATGGATCCCGTCTCCCACGGGGACAGCTTCTGAGGTCTTGCTTGGAGTTCACATTCAGCCCAGCGGCCCGTGCCCAGTGTTAGGGCAGGAGTTGCCGTTGGCAGATCCTCGCATGTGGAGATGCAGGAGCCTCGGGACCCTGACCCGCCTGGCTTTCTCTCCCCTCTAGGCCCACGAGATCTGCTACTCTGTGTTGTGTCTCTTCTCGTATGTGGCTGCGGTTCGTAGCAGTGAGGAAGATCTCAGAACCCCACCCCGGCCTGTCTCTAGCTGATGGAGAGGGGCTACACGGCCGCCCCGTCTCTAGCTGATGGAGAGGGGCTACACGGCCGCCCCAGCCCAGGGCACGCCCCTGGCCTCTTGCTCTTTCCAAGTGCACGATGCTGCTGTGACCGAGGAGTGGATGATGCTCGTGTGTCCTCTGCAAGCCCCCTGCTGTGGCTTAGTTGGTTACCAGTTATGTGTCTGAGTGTGTCTTCGAGCGTGTCCGCCTTCTCCCTTTCCACTCCCAGAAGACCAAACTGCCTTCCCCTCGGGGCTCAAGAGTGTGTGTGTGTGTGTGTGTGTGTGTCCCCGTGTGTGTCCTGGAGACATTTGGTGTTGTGGTGGTTTGTCCTTGTCCCTGGCGTTATAACTGTCCACCATAAGAGTCCAGATCTCCATGCTCTGCGACCCAGCACGACTGGGCGCCTGGAGCAGTTCCACTCCATGAGGAGTGAGGGAACCATGGGGCTCAGCCTCTCAGAGGAAGGACACAGACAGGAGGGGAAGAACTGGGGGGCAGCCGGAGCGAATGGCAGCCTCCCTGCTTCCTTCTGCATTCGTAACCTAGCAGCTGCTGCCCGGGGCGCAAGTGTTGGCTGCTGCCTGCCTACAGTGGAGCAGCGAGTGGCCTGCCATGCCTTTGGCATCAGAGGATGCAGTGGTTGAGGCTCATGGCATCCCAGGGACTGCTGGCTGCTCTGCCTGAGCATTGGGGAGGGGGCGGGAAAAACCAAGCTGGGTTTGCACATCTGTGTCCTCAGGCTGTGTCTCCGGGTACAGGGTGCCAGGAGGGAGAGGTGGCCTGGGTGTGGGCAAGAGATGACTGTAAATATTTCAGCCCCACATTATTTATAGAAAATGTACAGCTGTGTGAATGTGAAATAAATGTCCTTGACTCCCTTTGGGCTCCCTGGCTGCCTCACATTAAATGACACCTCCTCTTGGATCAGGTGTGAGGAAGGCTGTCCCTGGACTCTAAAAAGGCACTTCAGGCTTAAAGGAAAGAAGGAGATGAAGTCCTCCCTGTCCAAGCTTTGGCACACGGAGGCCCCAGCTCTGCTGTTCTCCCAGAGCAAGGCTGTGGGTGGAGCTTTCATTCCTGGGCACCTGGGGGCACTGCAGAGAGTTGGGCTGCCACGAATTGGAGGAGCAGCCAGACTGGGAGTCCATACCTGAACTGAGATCAGGTGAAAAGCCGGGCCCTGGCCTTTCCATGCCCTAACAGGTAGGTATGGCCCAGAGAGGTGTGGTGACTCAGCCAGGGTCGGGAACACCTGGCCAGGAGTGTCTTCCACTGGGTAGAACTGAGAAGCACCCCTAGGAGCCGCCTTCATGGAATTTCTGTCCTGGAAAAATCTGGCTGCGTTCTCAGGGAACTTCTGAGACCTGCTGGCTTCCCCCACCCAAAAGGAAACTGATGCTTGGAATTAGGCTCCCCACGGGGGAAGTGAGAGTAGAGTGGGGTCCAGGCCCTGACACCCATGGTCCTGGGCTGGATTGGATTGCTGTCCCCCACTGGGATGTGGATGTGCACCAGCTGTGGGCTTGTTGCTTGCTGGGACCCCAGAGCCACCTAGTGCAGCTCCACCCCGGGACAGTCACAAAACTGAGAGTCTGCCTTACCCACCTCCAGGAGGCTGCGACCACACCACGGCCCCTGGCACAAGGGTCATGCTGAGCGCCTGGGACTGACTAATGATGTGCTTCCGCCGTCACAGCTCAGTTTCATCATCTGAGTCAGTGCCATCGGGGGAGGCAGGTTCCTTCTAGTGCTAATGTTTTATAAACTCAGATTCTACTCTGGGCCTAGTTTAATCATCCGGAAGAAAATAAAAACAGTATCTGCCCTCACTTTGCTGTGAAGATCAGTGTCCTCATGCTTTTTTTTTCTTTTCTTTTTAAGACAGGGTCTCTGTCACCCAGGCTGGAGTGTAGTGGCACAATCTTGGCCCACTGCAACCTCTGCCACCCAGGTTCAAGCAATTCTCCTGCCTTAGCCTCCTGAGTAGCTGGGATTACAGGCGTGCACCACCATGAATGGCTAACTTTTGTATCTTCAGTGGAGACAGGGTTACACCTTGTTGGCCAGGCTGGTCTTGAACTCCTGACCTCAGGTGATCTGCCCACTTCAGCCTCCCAAAGTTCTAGGATTACAGGCGTGAACCATCGTGCCTGGCCATCCCTGTGTATTTTTATGAAAACAGGCACACTGAAATTGAGTAAGAAGAGTGAGTTCTCTATGACCACTAATTTTTTATTGCCTGGTATACATTGGGAAGATATGGCAGGCCAGAAAGATAGGTCCCCAGACGCTGTTTCTTGAGGCCACCCCCATTTCACTCCAAAGATCCAGGAGCTTCTGTCAGGAGCCCTGTGGACCAGTCTGCAACACCTACCCAGGCCCACCCAACACAACTGCCCTGCTGATCCCCCACTGCAGCCCAGGAGACACACTTGTCACACACGCATCCAACAGCAGAGAGGGGTTTCCCCAACTTCCCTCCAGGCTCCTGGCACGGGGCTGGCATCAGTTGTACCTAGGACACAGGTTTTCTTAGGAGTGAACGGAGGCCCCTACAGCCTCCCATTTCCTGACAGCTGCCTTGGGACCAAGGGCCAGGGCTCAGCTACTGACTTGTGCCTAGGTGTCAGGTGGTCTGGACTACATACCTGGCCATCCTCGGAGCCAGCCTGGTCACTGAGGCACTGCAGAAGAGAAGGAGGCCATGTCATTGTGTCCTAGCCTTCTGGAAGCCAGTACCCATCTGGACATGACAGGGTCCGTGCCTGTGCAGCCAGAGCAGCTGCTTGGCCCAGGACAACAAAAACCAGGGTCCCTGCTGCCCCGCTCTTCCCTCCTCCCAGCCCTGGCTCCTCACCTCGCACCTCCAGGCGGCACTCACACTGTGCCTCGCCCTGTAAGTTGGTGGCCCTGCAGACATAGATGCCCCCGTCAAAGGGGCAGGGCTTTCTAATCTCCAGGGTCAGCACTCCCTGCTTGCTGAACATGCGGAAGCGGGCATCTTCTCCCAGGTCCAGGCCATTCTTGAACCAGGAAATCTTGGGCTACAAATAAGATAAAGAGAGGGAGGGAAGCCATCCAGGCTGAGAGCAGACCTGGCAGGGACCTGGGGACACACGTTTGTGTTTCCCTGGGTCCCTACTTGGGGGTTTCCCACTGGAGTCCCTGACTATGCCCAAGGCTGGAAATGAAACAGAACCAACAGTGAGTACCACAGCCCTGCTCAGGGAGAGGAGCCCGACCCGTATACCCCAAGGTGGAGAGAAAGAAAGGGAGACTGGCTGGGGAGAGAACTGCTCGACATTGAGGCCTATGAGCCAGCCTGGACCAGAGCCTGAAGTTCCCTACCTTGGGGCTACCCCGGACAGCGCAGCAGAGCATAGTGTTGTAGCCTGCAATGACCGAGCGGTTCATCAGGGGCTGGGTGAAGCTTGGGGCCTCGGAGAAGTCCAGGGCCTTGTAGTTAGGTGGCTCATAGGTGATGCCTGTTGGTAATAGGACTTGGTACCAAGACGGCTACACCAAGCTAGGCCCCCCTCCCTGTTCCCACAGCCTCCCTGCCCCAGCCCCTGGTGCAGGGAATGAGGGGACCGCACCTGGTCTGGGGATAAAGACGGGCTCCTTGGTGGTGGCCGCTCTGTCACTGGAACCAACAGTATTCTGGCTGAAGACGCGGAAGTAGTAGCCATTGCCGATGATGAGCTCTGGCACCACGCAGTGGGTGCGGCGGTAATGCTCCAAGACCGTGAACCATTCCTGGGGGCAGGGAGGGAGGGGAGGCATCTCGCCCAGGCCCTCCCTGACACCGAGAGCCTCTCCTGAATGCCCCTGGCATCTCCACCCCTACCGTGGAGGGACTCAGGGCAGCAGAGGGAGGGTGAGGGGTCCATGGTGAGGACAGCAAAGGGTAGCTGGGGCCTGGGTCTGCCGGGCCTAGGCAGGGTGCACATGGGGACCCTGGGCTCACCATGGTCTTCTTGTCGGCTTTCTGCACCGTGTAGCCCCAGAGCTCCGTGTTGCCATCATCTTGGGGTGGCTTCCACTCCAGAGCCACATTAAGACCCCAGGCCTCAGTGACCTGGAGGTCCTGGGGAGGACTTGGCTTGTCTGTGAGAGACAGACCGAGCAGGGTGACGCTGGGCTCCAGGGACCTCCTACCCCTGCCAGCCAGGCCCGGGCCTGCTGGGCACTGGACTGGAAAATGTAAGCTGTGGGTTGGGTCCCCTAGCTCAGCCCTTGGCCCCGGCAGCCCGGCTCAGGAATGGGAAACAAGGGGCTCAGGGAGGCCTTGGCCACGCACCGACAACCTGCAGCACCAGCGTGGCCTTGTCCTCCATGTTCTCAATGCGTACTGTCACCTGGTAAGTGCCTGAATGCACGCGGCGAGCAGCCCGGATGAACAGGATGGTGTCCGTAGGGCTGTTTCGGACACTCACCTCCTCGCCTACCAGGGGCTGCCCCTCTTTGGTCCAGGTCACCTGAGGCCGGGGCTTGCCCTGAGGGGAGGAAAAGCTTAAACCTGAACTCGGCTCTTTCCCAGGGCCGGCCATCACGCCAGTCTCTGGGACCTCAGATCCGGCCAGCCCTGAGCCATCAGTCCACTGGCTGGGAACGGCACACTGTAGCCTCTCCCCTGGGGAACAGGAAAGGGGGCCGGCCCCACCTGAAAAGGGATGAGGAGGTTCACAGGCTCCCCAACCTTCTTCTGAATGGTCTGGCGCAGGTGCCTGGGCAGTTGAAGCCGTGGCCGTTCTGTGGGTGCAGAGTGGGGAGCTAAGTGAGGGCCCACCACAGCCCTGAGGGGCTCCATGGCTCCATCCTCCCTTGAGACAGGGCCCAGAGAGCTGCAACTAAGAAAAAAAGCTGCCTGCTGGGCGCTGTGCCTCCTTTAGCTCCTGAGGACACAGCAACTCCAGCCTGACCAGGCCCAGCTGGCTTCCCTCTGAGCCGCCCCACATTGCTTCAAGAGGCAGGGATCAGAGAGGGTAAGCAACTTGACTGAAGCCACACAGCTAGTAAGTCACAGGCCAAGGTGTAAACCTGGGCTTTTACATCCTCTGCCCTGTGCTCTTTCCACCCCAGTTAGCTGCCTCATTCCAGTTTTGAGAACCAATCTTTACAAAAGATGGACCCTTTATTGGGACAAGGAACAGAGGAATGGGAAGTGGACCCCAGAAGGACCAATCTCAAAACACAGACAATACTTACCTATTGGAGCCAAGACTCCTAGAAGAGAGCTTGGGTACTGTGGCCTTTATTTTCCCTGTTCCAGAACTAGGGGGCTGACATAGGCCAAGAAAGCCCTCTCTGCACTTTGTTTTTTTTGTTTTTTTTTTGGAGACGGAGTCTTGCTCTGTCGTCCAGGCTGGTGTGCAGTGGTATGATCTCGGCTCACTGTAACCTCCGCCACCTGGTCCAAGTGATTCTCCTGCCTCAGCCTCCCAAGTAGCTGGGATTACAGGCATGCACCACCAGACCTGGCTAGTTGTGTATTTTATTTATTTATTTATTTTTGAGACGGAGTTTCGCTCTTGTTACCCAGGCTGGAATGCAATGGCGCGATCTCGGCTCACCGCAACCTCCGCCTCCTGGGTTCAGGCAATTCTCCTGCCTCAGCCTCCTGAGTAGCTGGGATTACAGGCACGCGCCACCATGCCCAGCTAATTTTTTGTATTTTTAGTAGAGACGGGGTTTCACCATGTTAACTAGGATGGTCTCGATCTCTTGACCTCATTATCCACCCGCCTCGGCCTCCCAAAGTGCTGGGATTACAGGCTTGAGCCACCGCGCCCGGCCCTAGTTTTGTATTTTAAGTAGAGATGGTGTTCCACCATCTTGGCCAGTCTGGTCTCGAACACCTGACTTCAAGTGATCCTCCCGCCTTGGCCTCCCAAAGTGCTGGGATTACAGGCATGAGCCAGTATGCCCAGCCACCCTCTCTGTACCTTCTTCCTGAGCCTAGTGCATGGATGATGGCTTCAACCCCTCCTGTCCCTGCCCAGCATTCTGGTAGGACCTCCCTGGCTGTCCCCACCTCCACTGGACACCAAGGGCTTGGCGTGTCAGTGGCAGGTCTTGTGACTGCACAAAAGGGCACTCACGCAGGATCTCCTGCACCGTCACCGGCTCCGTCGTGGTAACAGGGGCTCCAGACCCCGCCATATTGTGTGCCCGCACTCGGAAGAGCAGCCGGGCCCCTGTGGGCAGGTCCTTCACCAGCATGGACGTGCGCTCCGTCAGCCCCTGCAGGGCAGCCACCCACTCTGAGCCTGGGGGTGGGGAGGGGCAGGCAAGGCCACAGGCTGTGTCAGCATTGACACCCCACCCCACTGCCCACTCCTCTGATACAAATCTCCAGGATTGAAATATGTTTTCTAAATGTAGTTGCTGATGTCGTGCTGCTCGGAGAAGTGTTACAGTCAGCTTTACTCTGCATTTGTTTTTCACTAGGCAAGCTTTTTTGCTTCTCAAAACAAGACAGATATTTCTCTGGATGTATGTCCTCAATGTTTGGCAAAAGTGGGCCAAAAACCCTGACCTACGCGTGGATCTGCTCAATGGCAAGGTGAGCGTATTCTTCCTTTAGGGAGGAAGGCTGATGGGGGGACACTCACAGCCCTCCAGGCAGTACTCCACGCTGTAGCCGTCCAGGCCTCCTGCTCCCACGCGCTCCGGGGGCCGCCACTTGAGGGAGACTGTGGTGTCCGAGACGTCCTCTACTGCCAGGTGGGTGGGTTCGCTGGGTGGACCTGGGCAGAGGAGAGGTCAGGGAGGGGTCTGAGCAAGGCTGGGGAGGCTGGAGGTCCACGGCCTAGACCCTGAGCTGCCCACTGGTCACATAGAGGGGACTTCGTGTTCAGCTGGCTTTCGGGTACGTTAAGGAATATTTTGGCTCCATTACAAGACATGTCTGTAGATTGTTTTGAAAACAAACAACAACGGAGGCCAGGCGCGGTGACACACGCCTATAATCCCAGCACTTTGGGAGGCCAAGGTGGGTGGATCACCAGAGGGCAGGAGTTTGAGACCAGCCTGGCCAACATGGTGAAACCCTGTCTCTACAAAAATACAAAAATTAGCTGGGCACGATGGTGAATGATGGTGAATGCCTGTAATCCCAGCTACTCCAGAGGCTGAGGTGGGAGAATCACTTGAACCCAGGAGGTGGAATTTCCCGGGAGGTGAAATCAAGCCAGGACTGCACTCTAGCCTGAGTGACAAAGTGAGACTCCATGTCAAAAAAAAAAAAAAAAATAGGAGGAGAAAAAAGAGAGAATAAAACTACAGGAAAACATGGGCATTTCCTGGGACCATATGATTAGGTGAGCTGACTAAGGGCTGAACTCCAGAAGTCAGTCCCTAAAAAGAGAGGCCTGGGCCCTTCTTCCCACAGACCCCACTTCCTGCCATCTTCCCAAGCTGTGCCCCTCTCTGGGCCCAGGGGTCCCTGGGCCTGCCCCTGCCACAGATGGCTGCCCCCAGATTTACCCACCCTGGTGGGGACAGGTGTTCTCTGGAGCCTGCCACACCCTCAGCTCCTGTTCTACACATTCAGACCCCATAATACACATGAGGACACTGAGGCTTCAGGGAGGGTTGACTCCAGTTGGCCTCCCGGGGACCATGGAGCTGCCTCTGCCATCTCTGAGTCTTGGTCTGGGACTCTTTCCACAGACAGACGCCCCTCAGAGCCCTCCACTAACCACAGTCCTTGCCCCGTTCCATAGATGACAAACCCTGGGTTGAAGGGAGTGGGGAACAGGGGACAATGAACATGTATTGAGCATCTGCTGGATGCCAGACACCCTGCCTGGTCCTCCCATATCATCCTAACAGCTCTCTGAGGCAGGCAGTGACATTATTCCCATTTTGTAGACATGGAAAGTGAGGCTTGAAAAGTGGGGGTTGGCATAGTGTGAGAGTCAGCCCCACTCCAGCCAGCTGGGAGATCTCAAGCAGATCATTTAACTGCTCAGAGCCTGTTTCCTCATCTGTAAAATGTGGCTGAGTATCCCCAGAGGAGGATGAAAGAAGACCATGGATGTAAGTGTCTAGCGTGGCTGCCTGCAGAGCAGCTGCTATTCCTGGGGGCTGTCGACTAGGGGTGGGGCGGGGGGCAGGAGCAGGCCAGGCAGGCTCACCGATAGGCATGAAGGGCTGGGAGGCAGGGCTGGGCCTGGACATGCCGATGGCATTGACTGCGTAGACACGCGTCTCGTACACCACACCCTCGATCATGCGCCGCGCCTCGTGGCTCAGCTCCCGAATCAGGTCGAAGTTCAGCCGCATCCACCGGTAGCTCTTCTTCTTCTTGCGCTCCAGGATGTAGCCTGGCTCAGGAGAGGTGGCAGTTCTGGTCTAGGACCCAGGCACCCCCACACCGCCTTCCCTTGGCTCTGTCCGGTGCCTTCGCACTCACCCAGGACAGGCTGCCCGCCATCATAGGCAGGTGGCTCCCACTGCACCATGCAGGAGTCCTCGCCCACGTTGCTGATCTTGGGGGCCGCAGGAGCGTCTGGCACGTCTGGAGGGGGTGGGGCCTTGAGTAACGTTGCTCATCCCCTTCCCACTCCAACTAACTGACACAGGCTGCCCCCACCACCCTCAGATCCCAAGAGATCTTTCTAGAATGCATTTCTTTCCTTCTTTCTTTCTTTTTTTTTTTTGTTTGAAGTGATATGGAGTCTCACTGTGTTGTCCAGGCTGGGTCTCTACAGGATGCATTTCTGATCATGTTGCCAGCCTGCCATCAACCCTCTAAGGCTCCTCCGTGCCCATACTCACCCCTGTCCTGGCTCTGATCCTCCCAACCCCACCCAGTCCTCCCCTGACATTTCATTCATTCTCCACATCCAAAAGGCCCTTTCCTTTCTCCACCCCTTTGTACAGTTTCCTCTGCCTGGAATGCCTTTCCTCACCATCTTCTCAGCCTCCTAAAGGCCTCACGCCCCGGGCGCAGCGATGGCTCTCTGCCCAGTGCTCCCACACCACTTTGGACATAGCTCATGTACAGCAGTGTCACAGGAAATCTGCTGGATGCATCTGTCTTCTCAATCTTCCCCAGAGTGGGGCTCCTCGTGGGTAGAAAAACCTGCCCCATTGCCGCTCAGCTCAGGGAACATGCCCATGATGTTTGCTGAGTGGCTAAATGAATGAACAGATAGGTCTTCCTTGGGGCTGCCCGTCTGTATTCTCCAGCTTGGACCCCAGCCGGCCTCACCGATGACCTTGACTGTAAGGTTGACCTGGTCCTCGCCCACAGGGTTCTTCACAGTGACTGTGTAGATGCCCTCATCTTCCTTCTCTGCCCCCTCGACTGTGAAGATGCTTCGGTCCTTGGTGGTCTCCACACGGACCCGGCCCTCGGTCTCACACAGCAGCTGGGGGGACGGAGAGTTGGGGTGAGATCCAAGTCAGACCCCAGGGGCCCCTGCAGCCTCCGTAACAGCCAGATGACCTGGGGTCCATGGGGGGAAACACAGCCTGAGGAAAGACTGCACTGTCAGCATCTAGTTCAAAATCCTCTGTGTGGCATCAACTGAGGGCAGGGGCTTGGGCTCTAGCTTTGTCACAGGACCTGGGGCAGCCACCTGTCCTCTGAGATAAGCTATTGTGAGGACCCCGGGAGACCCCACCCTTCAGAAGAACCAACAGTGCCAGGCAGGAGCTAGAACCTGGCAGCTACACTGGCAGAAAAGTGCCTCGGAAATGACTCCTGAGTTGAGAGGAAGCACAAGGTCAAGGTCAGGGTTAAGGTCAGCTCAGGATGAAGGGAGCCAGGGAGCAGCCCGGTCATAAGGGCTTCCTGGCAATGAGACAGTGTCCACGCCCTTGTGAGGGTCATCAGCACACTCCATAGAGACCCGGCCTCAGGTGTGAGGGCCCCAAAGGGACCCTGCCAGGGGCGGCGACACACCTGGTCAAGTGGGGCACCTCCATGGAGACCTCGCCAAGGGCTGGACACCACGTAGGTAAAAAGTGGTTGAGATAAACGAGCCCATCCTGACCTCAGCCTCACTCACCTTCTTGTCAAACACCCACTCGTTACTGTCAGCTGCATCCTCTGGGGCATCTGAGGCTGGCCTGGCTGAGGCCTTATTCCCCTGGGAACAGGGCAGGAGGGAAGTAGGGGGCAGAGGAGCCGACTCGGCTTCGAAGTGCCCCTCCGCCTCTTCTTCCACCTCCCCCCGATCCACAGTGCCCATCTCGCCTGCGCCCTGGCCACTGAGCCTCTGCTCTCCCAGGGGGTAGACAGCAGCAGGGCATGCACATGTGGGTGGGGTGTGCAGCAGGCCCTAGCACTTGGCTGGTTCCGCACACCCATCTTACAGATGGGGAGACTGAGGAGGGACCCACAGTACCTGCGTGACGGCCTTCTGCCAGATCACGGTGGGGGCAGGGTCCCCAGAGATAGGGACGTCCAGACGTAGCTTATTTCCAGCTACAACCACGATGGTGTCTGGTACGCGGCCTGGGCAGTCCAGGTGGATCTTGGGTGGTTCTGCGGAAGAGGCAACGCAGTTCAGAGGAGCAGGAGGCCCAGGAGGGGCACAGGTCACTGGGGAGGGGCCACTAGGGAGCCCGTGTCCCGGTTTTTATTTTGAGACAGAGTTTCGCTCTTGTCACCCAGGCTGGAATGCAATGGTGCAATCTTGTCTCACCGCAACCTCCACCTCCCAGGTTCAAGGGATTCTCCTGCCTCAGCCTCCCAAGTAGCTGGGATCACAGGCATGCGCCATCACACCAAGCTAACTTTTGTATTTTTAGTAGACGTGGAGTTTCGCCATGTTGGTCAGGCTGGTCTCGAACTCCCGACCTCAGGTGATCTGCCTGCCTGGGCCTCCCAAATTGCTGGGATTATAGGCGTGAGCCACCACACCCGGCCTGCTTGTTGGTTTTTTTAGATTTGTATTGAGGTATAGTTTATGCCTGATAAAATGCACAGATCTGACTGTAGGCTGATGAGTTCTGACAAATAAATACACCCCTGTAACCATGAAACCAACCGAGATCTAGAACATTCCCATCATCTCAGGACATTGGGAGGCTTGTAATATTCAGGTAAGATCACTTAGCATAGCATTTTGAAAACTGGGGGAACACCAGTCTACACACACACACACACACACACACACACACACACACACATTTAAAAGGTTCCCTGGCCAAATAAATCAGGAATCCGCCCTTGGTTAAACAAAGTTAAAGGCAAGTTTCTTTACCACAGGATGTTTCAGAGCCTTTAACACCTTCTGAATCAACAAGAGGTGAGGCAGGTGTTCACTGCTTCCCAAACTGATTTCATTGAAGAACCCTTTGCAAGTGGGTTAACAATGTTCAGTGAACCCAATTTAGAAAGCACGCAGAGTATGCCACAGTCTAGATTATTCTCCTTAAGTTAAACTTGTAGAATGTCGGATTATAGCTTAATCTTGGGCCGGGCGCAGTGGCTCATGCCTATAATCCCAGCACTTTGGGAGGCCGAGGTGGGTGAATCACGAGGTCCAGAGATGGAGACCATTCTGGCCAAGCATGGGGAAACCCCATCTCTACTAAAAATACAAAAATTAGCTTGGTGTGGTGGCACACGCTTGTAGTCCCAGCTACTCGGGAGGCTGAGGCAGGAGAATTGCTTGAACCTGGGAGGCAGAGGTTGCAGTGAGCCGAGATTGCACCACTGCACTCCAGCCTGAGCAACAGAGCAAGACTTAATCAAATCAAATCAAATAGCTTTTTTTTTTCTATTTTTTACTTATTTATTTTATTTTAGAGATGGGGGTTTCACCATGTTGGTCAGGCTGGTTTCGAACTCCTGACCTCAGGTCATCCGCCCGCCTTGGCCTCCCAAAGTGCTGGGATTAGAGGCGCGAGCCACCGCACCCGGCCTAGCTTTATTTTTTTAAGAGCAATCTCCACTCACTGCAACCTCTGACTCCCAGGTTAGAGGGATTCTCCTGCCTCAGCCTCCCAAGTAACTGGGACTACAGGCACGCACCGCCACACCTGGCTAATTTTTGTATTTTTAGTAGACAGGGTTTGCCATGTTGGCCAGGCTGCTCTGAAACTACTAACCTCAGGTAATCCACCGGCCTCGGCCTCTGAAAGTGCTGTTATTACAGACGTGAGCCACCGCCCCTGGGCTGACTAGAGCTTAATTTAAAACCAGGGGAAGGAGAGGGCCAGGTGCGGTGGCCCATGCCTATAACCCCAGCACTTTGGGAGATCAAGGCAGGTGGATCAGTCAAGCCCAGGGGTTTGAGACCAGTCTAGGCAACATGGCAAAGAAACCTGTGTCTACCAAGAAATACGAAAATTCACTGGCACAGTGGCATGTGCCTGTAGTTCCAGCTACTACTGAGGTGGGAGGATCACTTGAGCCTGGAAGGCAGAGGCTATGGTGAGCTGAGTTCGTACCGTTATGCTCCAGCCTAGGTGACAGAGTGAGACTGTCTCAAAACATAAATTAATAAAAATAAAATAAAAGCAGATGAGGTACTTCCAAAAGAAGAAAAAGGCTGGGCACAGTGGCTTGTGCCTATAATCCCAGCTCCTTGGGAAGCTGAAGGAGGAGGATCACTTGAGGCCAGGAATTCGAGACCAGCCTGAGCAACATAGCAAGACCCTTGTCTCTACAAAAGGTGGCTCATGCCTGTAATCCCAGCACGTTGGGAGGCCGAGGCGGGTGGATCACGAGGTCAAGAGATCGAGACCATCCTGGTCAACGTGGTGAAACCCCGTCTCTACAAAAAATACAAAAAAAAAATTAGCTGGGCATGGTGGCGCGTGCCTGTAATCCCAGCTACTCAGGAGGCTGAGGCAGGAGAATTGCCTGAACCCAGGAGGCAGAGGTTGCGGTGAGCTGAGATCGCACCATTGCACTCCAGCCTGGGTAACAAGAGTGAAACTCCGTCTCAAAAAAAGAAAAAAAAAATTATCTAGATGTGCTGCTGCACACCTGTAATCCCAGCTACTTGGAAGGCTGATGTGGGAGGATCCCTTGAGCCCAGGAGTTTGAGGCTGCGCTCCAGGCTCGGCAACAGAGTGAGATCCTGTCTCTAAAAACAATAATAATAATAACACTAAAATTAAATAAGAGGAAAAGATGTGGCCAGGCACGGTGACTCATGCCTATAATCCCAGCACTGGGAGGCTGAGGCAGGCGGATCGCCTGAGGTCAGGTGTTCAAGACCAGCCTTGCCAACATGGTGAAACCCCCTATAAAAATACAAAATTAGCCGGGTATGGTGGCGGGCGCCTGTAGTCCCCAGCTCTTCAGGAGTCTGAGGCAGGAGAATCTCTTGAACCTGGGAGGCAGAGGTTGCAGTGAGTCGAGGCCGCACTGCTGCATTCCAGCCTGGGCGACGGAGCGAGATTCTGCCTCAAAAAACAAACAACAAAAAGCTAATCTTTTAGAATAACTGCTCTATGGGGGTAGGTTTCCTCTTCCCATTTTACAGAAGAGGAAACTGAGGCTCACAGAGATTATAACTGACCCATGGTCATGAGAGGCAAAGCTGGCTCTGGGCCCCAGGCCCCCCACCTCTGATGCTTGCTCTTCCCTCTGTGAGTGGAGGGGAGACGTGGAGGGGGAGGGGTTGCAGGAAAATGGGCAGAACCAAGACTCAGGGGCCCTATGACTCACCCTGCCTAGGTACGAAGTCAATCTTGACCTCTGCAAGAGAAAGAAGAGCAAGTGGCACGGGGGCAAAGGCAGAACCCAGTGACAGGGGCTCCTGGCCCACTGCCCCCACCCACCCTAACCCGGAGCAGCCTCACCCATGAAGTGGAGCTTGGCCGACAGGTTGCAGGCGAAGCCCTCGGGCACAAAGCTGTAGTCAGCCTCGTCAGCAGGTGTGACGTCGTCAATGGTCAGTTTGTGGACCCTGCGGGGGAGCCATGGCTCGGGGGACCCCACTCAGTCACAAACCCCCAGCCAGGGTCCCAGGAGGTCCTCACCTCGTCCTGGCTTGTTGGTATTCTGATTTTTTTAAATGTTTTTCTTCTATGTTATCAAATTTTCCAGTTCTTTCATGTGCTTTCAGAGGTAGGCAGTGTAGAAGTGATTTCTACATCAAAGCATCCCCTTGGCTGGCCCCTTGGGGACTGGGCAGGGCCTAGGTCTCATTAATCTCTGTGAACTCAGGCCCAGCACTGCCAGCCCAGTTGTTCTGGGGATGAGCAAGAGGGCGGGAGAGACAGCAAGGGACTCTGGCCAGAGCCTGCCCCCTTGGTGGCCTCCTGCCCTGTCCTGGTCACAAGTTGGGGGAGGGCGCTGGGGAGCTCCTGACCCAGTCTGTGTGTCTCCCTGCCACCTCTTTGTCTCTGTCCTTCTGTTCCTCTCCGTCTCTGACAAACTCTCTTCTGTGTGTGGTGTGTGCCACCCTGTCCATAGCTTTCTGTCTCCACAGAGATATTTCTGTCTGTGTCTCTTTATCTTTTTGTGTGTGTTTCTCCCTCTCTGTGGATCTCTGTCTCAGTCTCTGTCCTGTCTCTGTGCTTCTGCCTCTCTGTCCTCCTGTCTCTCTCTCTGTCTGTCTGTTTCTCCCCGTCTCTCTCTCTCTCTGTCTCCATCTCAGCCTCTGCCTGTCCCATCTGCCTGCCCTGCACACTTACCGCCCAATATGGGACACCTTTATTCGGCTGTTGGGCACCAGCTCCTTCCCATTCTTCAGCCACACACCCCGCACGTTCTCATCTGAGACCTCGCACTTGAACACGGCCTGGTCCTTTGCACCCACCGTCAGGTCTGCGATGCTCTGGTACACCTCCAGCTTCTTCTCTGTGGAGCGGGGCAGAACTATTGAGCTCAGGAGGGTATGTGGGCTCTCAGGCACTGGTGCGCACATGTCTGGGTGCGTGCAGCCATGTGAAAACATGTGTGTGCCTGTGTGTGCCATGTTTGCCTATGATGGTGCAGTGCACACAAGTAACCTCAGGTGTTTGAGGGGTGGTGACGCTCACCAGGCCCATCTGAACCTCTTGTACCCTCTGGAGCGGTCATCTCAGCATCGTCATTTTTTTTTTTGAGACAGAGTCTTGCTCTGTTACCCAGGCTGGAGTGCAGTGGTGCAATCTCGGCTCACTGCAATCTCTGCCTCCTGGGTTCAAGCAATTCTCCTGTCTCAGCCTCCCAAGTAGCTGGGACTACAGGCACGCACGATCGCGCCCAGCTAATTTTTTTTTTTTTTTTTGAGACAGAGTCTTGCTCTGTCACCAGGAGCCAGGCTGGAGTGCAGTGGTGCAAACTCAGCTCACTGCAATCCCCTGGGTTCAACAATTCTCCTGCCTCAGCCTCCTGAGTAGCTGGGACTACAGGTGCGCGCCACCATGCCCAGCTAATTTTTGTATTTTTTAGTAGGGACGGGGTTTCACCATGTTGGCCAGGATGGTCTCAATCTCTTGACCTTGTGATCCACCCACCTTGGCCTCCCAAAGTGCTGGAATTACAGGCGTGAGCCACCACGCCTGGCCTTTTTTTGTATTTTTAGTAGAGACGAAGTTTCACCGTGTTGGCCAGGATGGTCTCGATCCCTTGACCTCGTGATCCGCCCACCTTGGCCTCCCAAAGTGCTGGGATTACAGGCGTGAGCCATCTCACCCAGCAGCATTGTCATTTTAGAGATGAGAAGGGTGAGGCTTAGGCTATTGACGGACTAAAGTCACAGAAGCCTTGAGCCTGGGTTTGCCTGCTTTCCCCCTACATGGCTGGGTGGGGTGGGATGGGAGGTGAGGGGCCTAAGCCCTGAAGCCTCTCCCCACCGACCCCAGCCAGGCTCACCCTGCACGATGAGCTCAGCCAGCGCCTGGCCCCCGCTGGTGCGCAGCGCGTAGTGCCCCGCGTCCTCCAGCGTGGCTTCATTGATGATTAGGTGGTGTCTCCGCCCATCCTTCTTGAACCGGTATTTGAAGGTCTCCTCCCGGGTCAGCTCCACCCCATCCTTCAGCCTGGCCAGGTGGGCGGGTGGGAAGTTCTGCAGCCTCTTCTGGGCACATGTCCCCGACACCCACCCCTGCCCCTTACCCCATGCCTCTGGCACTCACCATTTGACCTGCGCCCCCTCCTCCGAAACTTCACACTCAAACTCCACCCGCTGCCCCACCATCACCAGCTGGTCCTCTAAGGGGCGCGTAATGAGTACGGGGGGCTCTGTCCAGGCAGGGCGAGCGTGAGGGTTGTCTCCCCTGCGGCCGTCTCCTCCCCAGGTCCCACGTCCCCGGGTCCCAGGCCCACCTTTGACAAAGAGCTCTGTGCTGCACTTCTCCCCACCCACCATGCACTGGTAAGCTGCATCGTCTGCCAGCGAGCACTGGCTGATGGTCAGGGTGCGCTTGGCACCGATGGACTCGAAGATGTACCTGGGTAGGGGCCACAGGGAAGTGGCAGGAGAGCCAGGGCCCAGGGTCCAGGGCGCCCCATGGTAACCCCTGTGCCTCCCATCCCAAGCCATCCAGAGGGAAACTTACTTGCTGTGGAACAGAAGGGGTCATTGGAGCGTTCCCAACAGGAGGAAGTGAGCCCGAGACAAAAGGAGAGAGGGGGAGGGAGGGGCAAGAGCAAGAGGACAGGAAATCAGACCCAGAGAGATGAGCTGAGAGCCACAGAGTCATAGACACGTGTGTGGAGATGGGCAGGAGGTGAGGTTGTGGGGATCCCCACCTCCGCCCCAGACCCCCCGACCCTGGGCTGCACCTGCCACTCATCTGGATCTCCTGACCATTCTTGAGCCACTTGACCTCAGCGTCGGGGTCGGCCAGCTCCACGGTCAGCCGGATCTTGTGGCCTTTGCTCACCTGATAGGCCGGCTCCAGCTTCTTCTGAAAGGCTGAGCACCATCCCTCAGCCCTGGCCACCCCACTGCCCACACCCTGCTCCCCCAGGCTGGGCTACTGTGGCTGGGGCTGGGGCCCAGGTCCTCACCCAATTCCCCCCTGTGCCTCCACCTGTCTCTCTGTGTCTCTATTTCTTTTTGTTTGTTGTTTTAATTTTTGTTTGTTTTTTGAGACAGAGTCTTGCTCTGTTGCCCCGGCCGGAGTGCAGTGGCGCAATCTTGGCTCAGTGCAACCTCCACCTCCTGGGTTTAAGTGATTCTCCTGCCTCGGCCTCCAGAGTAGCTGGGATTCCAGGTGCCCACCACCACTGCCCAGGTAATTTTTGCATTTTTAGTAGACACTGGGTTTCACCATGTTGGCCCGGCGATTGTGCTAGGATTCTAGGCATGCTGTCTCTATTTCTTTATCTGTGTCTATGTGTCTGTCTGTCTCCTTGTCTCCTTGTCTATTTATCTGACCTTGTCCTTCTGTCTTCCTTGGGGTCTTCTCCACCTGCTCAGCTCAGGGGTTGGGTTAGGGGCTTCCAGAAAGACAGAAGAACTGGGGCTGGGACAGATGTGCCTTCTCTTCTCTCAGCAGCCCCTGACTTTGGCTCTCCTGCCAGACGTTCCCACCTAGCGGCCCTCTGTGCCCGACTCACTCCCATCTCAGGCCCCAGGGCCAGCGTGATGGTCCCCTGGCTACTGTGGTGGGGGAAACAAGGCTGAGAGGTGGCCAGCCCAACGCCAGCAGCCCCGCAGGCATGTGGCAGAGCTGGGTTTCAAGCCCAGCCCTGCCCTGTGACAATGCCTCCTCTTGCGGCAGTGTTTGTAAAAGCCCGAGTTGCTGCTGCTGAGCCCAGGGAGGAGGTGGGGGCTCCTCCTGAGTCCACAGAGCAGAGAAGGACCCCTGAGTCCTCAATGCTCTGGCTGGGCCTGGAGTCAGCTGCGGAGGGGCAGAGATCTATGCCAGGTGCTCTGTGACCTTGAGCTATTTCCCTAACTAACCTCTCTGTGCCTCGCTTTCCTCCTTAGCAGCCTGGAAATGGTCACAGTCTCTCCATCACAGTGTTCTGAGAATTAAATGAGACAATTATGTAAAGCACCTAGTGCCTAGCTTAGGAAGGAATTCGCTCTTTTTTTTTTTTTTTTTTGAAAGGGAGTCTCGCTCTTGTTGCCCAGGCTGTAGTGCAATGGCATGATCTTGGCTTACCGCAACCTCCACCTCCCAGGTTCCAGGAAATTCACTCTTTTTACTATTACTGGTATTCCTGGAAGAGACCCCTGCCCTTGGAGGTCCCCAACTGCCTTGCCAGCCTCCATCTGCTCCTCCTCAGGCACCTGCAGGCCTTTGCTTGGTGCCCTCCGGGCTCAGCAGTTCAGAGGTTAACCCAGAGGCACACTGGTGGCATCCAGGGGATCCCTGGCTTAAATAGGGCCACAGCACAGGTAAGGGCAAGGTCACCTAGCTATGGGGTGAGGGAGGTGGGGCCAAGGGCTAGGGGGCCTGGGGAGAGCAGCTGGGAGGGACTAAGCAGCTCCTTTCCCCTTCCCTTCGAGCATGTAGGTTTTGTATGTATGCTCTAGGAGGGGCTCATCTGGCACATCCTGCACGGAAGCTGATCCATCTACTCAGTTGACATTTATGGAGTGCTGGAGGTATGTGCCAGGCACCATGCTAGATTCAGATGTGGCAGGGAGCAGGCATTTGAGGCCCTTGAGTTCCTGGCTCAGTACCGCCCTGGTCAGTACCCCGGTGGGGAAGGGCTAGCCTGGGCCCTCCTCCTTCCACCAGCCTGGGGGTGAGGGGGGCTAACCTGAGCCCTCCTGCTTTGTTTGCCTGGGAGCAAGATTAACCAGGCTCTTCTCTCGGCCTGTGTGTGGCTCTCCCAGCTTACCAGGCCTCTGCCCTTTTCTTTGGTGTGTGGTTAACTAGGCTTCATTTCTTTTCAGAAGAAGGTAGAGAAAGAAAGGGTAGCCTGATTTTTCCTTGGTGAGGAGGGTTAACCTGAGCTCTGTCCTTTTCCTTGTGGCTGTCCTGGCCTGACCTTTACCCTTCTCTTCTGTCTGTGTGGAAAGGGGCTAACCTGGGCATTCCTGGGTTTTTCTACACAAGGAGGGGTTAACCTGAGCCCTTCTTTCCTGTGTGTCTCTGTGCTAAGCTGGACTCTGTTCTTTCCATGTATGTGGAGGGGTTGGGGGGCTAACCTGTGCCCTCTCCTCTCTCATGTGGGAAGGGCTAACCTGTGCCCTCTCCTCTCTCATGTGGGGAAGGGCTAACCTGTGCCCTCTCCTCTCCCGTGTGGGAAGGGCTAACCTGTGCCCTCTCTCCCATGTGGGAAGGCCTAACCTGTGCCCTCTCTCCCATGTGGGAAGGCCTAACCTGTGCCCTCTCCTCTCCCATGTGGGGAAGGGCTAACCTGTGCCCTCTCCTCTCCCATGTGGGGAAGGCCTAACCTGTGCCCTCTCCTCTCCCATGTGGGGAAGGCCTAACCTGTGCCCTCTCCTCTCCCGCGTGGGAAGGGCTAACCTGTGCCCTCTCCTCTCCCACATGGGGAAGGGCTAACCTGTGCCCTCTCCTCTCCTGTGTAGGAAGGGCTAACCTATGCCATGTCCTCTCCCGTGTGGGAGAGGCTAACCTGTGCCCTCTCCTCTCCCATGTGGGAAGGGCTAACCTGTGCTCTCTCCTCTCCTGTGAGGGGAAGGGCTAACCTGTGCCCTCTCCACTCCCGTGTGGGAAGGGCTAGCCTGTGCCCTCTCCTCTCTCATGTGGGGAAGGACTAACCTGTCCTCTCTCCTCTCCCGTCAGGGGAAGGGCTAGCCTGTGCTCTCTCCTCTCCCGTGGGGGGAAGGGCTAGCCTGTCCTCTCTCTTCTCCCATGGGGGGAAGGGCTAACCTGTGCTCTTCTTCTCATCTCGCCTCATGCCCTTGAGCCTCTTCAGCATGCCACGCAGGTCAGTGACGCCGTACTGGAAGGCGATGCGCTCATACTCAGATGGGGGTGCCTGCCGCAGGATCTCCCATACGTCCTCCTCTGCTGGTGCCTCTAGCTTTGAGTCCCTGTGTCCCGAAGTCCAGGCTCTGGCCAGGGGCAAGTCTGCAGCCCCCCAGCCCCACTTCCCCGGTGGGGCTTCCTGGGCCCAGGAATAAGGAGCTGTAGCCACCCCTGCCCCTCTGCCCCTTCCCTTCTGGTGGGGCAGCTGGAGTTGGTCTGAGTCCCAGGTCAGGTCTGGGGGTCAAGGGAGCATAAGGGGGGCTCGGGATATGGAGGGGTTCCTGGCAGAAGTAGGGGTGATGAGGGTGCTGGGCTATGATCGGACACTCACCTCGAGGCCCTGAAGCTGCTGCTTGAGGGCAAGGAGAAAGGGCAGAAACACATGCGAGGTGCAGGCGCCTTCCCTCCAAGTCCCGGACTGCACCACGGCCTTCACCTCCTGCCTGCTCTCTAAGCTTCCACTCCCTGCGTTGCAGGCACCCATGCTGCTCCAGAGACTCTGGCAGGACCACCTGTGTGCGTTGCTTTTTCTTTCCTTTTTCTCTTTCTTTCTTTCTCTCTTTCTTTTCTTTCTTTCAAGACAAGGTCTTACTCTGTCATCCAGGCTGGAGTGCAATGGCACGATCTTGGCTCACCGCAACCTCCGCCTCCCAGGTTCAAGCTATTCTCCTGCCTCAACCTCCCTAGTATCTGGGATTACAGGCATCTGCCACTGTACCTGGTTGTTTTGTATTTTTAGTAGAGGCAGGGTGTCCCCATGTTGGCCAGGCTGGTCTTGAACTCCTGACCTCAGGTGATCCACCCGCCTCGGCCTTCCAAAGTTCTGGGATTACAGGCGTGATCCCTCCTAAGCTCTGACAGATAGGGGGTGGCAGAAGCCCAAAGCACAGAGACTCACCCCGGTCGGTGAGGAGCCGCACCCTGCTCCGAGCCTCTCACCACAGCCCCTCAGGGAGGGGACAGGATCCTCCTGGCCCACCAGCGCCCTGCCACCCCAAACACCCAGACCCCATTTCTTACTCTCTGGGCCACAGCAGCATCAACCATAAGGGAAGGGCCGGGGGAGAGGGAGAGAGAGGACAGAAAGAACGTAGTCAGTCGGGCTGGCCTGGTAGACAATTCCTGCAGCTTTAGGGACCCTCTCTCCATTGCTTCTGGGTCCCCAGAGTTTACTGAGGGAGTTTTTGCAGCCTCAAGTGTGGAGTGGCCATGGGGGACACTGAGGATGACTGTTCATGAGACATAACATCTGCAGAGCCCTTTAATGTCTTCCCACACTGGGATCATCGCTCGACAGACACACCAGCTCAGAGAGGTGCAGCGATGTGCTCAGGGTCACACAGCTGGCAAGCTACAGTGCTGGGATTTGGAGCCAGGCCTCACCACCTGCCCCAGAACTGCCACCCAGGACTCACCTCTTCTTCAGCAGTGAGCTGAAATCCAGAATCCCAGCATCCTCGTGGCTGTCACTATGGAGAGGGACCCCTGGTAAGGTTGCAGTGAGGGACTGGAGGGGGCTTAGGAGCAGGACAGGGAGCAAGGCAGGGAGGGAGGAAGGGACGCTGGCCAGACTGGGCTCCTACACATCTCAGACCCCCACGGGTCTGTGGATGGTGCAGGTAGGGCTTGGGGCAGGAGTACCTGATCCGACGACCACCTCCAGCCAGGCTCCTGTGGGGGTTAGACTCAGTATCTTCATCCACCCAGGAAGCTTGCTCTCCCCCCAACCCCTCTGACTTCAGCTCTGCCCTGACCCCCAGTCCAGACCCTGAAGGGGCCTCAGATCCAGCACTGGCCTCCCCCAGGTCCTGAGGATGGCCACTCACGTGCGGCGGAAGGCTGATAGGAGGTCCAGGTCTCCGGGGCCCATGGCCTCTGGGTTCAAAGGGTGGAAAGATGGGAGAAGGGGCTTCAGGGGGGGCCATTTGAGAAGCCCTGCCCTGGGGGTGGTCTCTGAATATTCACAGAGTTGTCCATTCGTGACCCTGTGAGGCTGGGCATCTGACCCAGGATCTCACCTTCCCAGCCTCCCCAGGGTCAAGGTACCAGGGAGGTGGGACTGTTTATTGTCCCCAATTCCCCCCATCTCTCAACTCACCTTTACCCATCGACCAAGCATTCAGATAGTGCCAGGCCCTGGGCCAGCAGCTGTGACACCAAGATGATAAAACAGAGTCCCACCCAGATGAGACCTGGACTCAGCCCTAAGCAACCGCCCCAACCCTGCGAGCCTGGGGATTTCTCTCACACCCTTGTGTCTGCAGCACAGGCACGTGGCCAGCACTCATGTCTGGCCAAGATGAGACCTCCGTCTTAGTGTTGGGAAAGGGAGGCAGGTGCACCGCGACAGACAGCAGGTCCCCTCACCGTGGACAGTGAGGTTGAAATTGGAGCAGTCGAATTTGTCCTTGGTGGACACCTCACAGCGGTAGCCGCCAGCGGAGGCAGGTTGGGCGTCGGTGATGTGCAGCTCAAACAGATAGACCTGTGTGCATGGAGGGAGGGGGCGTCAGGGGACACCAGGGGCCGAGCGACAAAGCTCCTCACCCTTAAAGAAGACTGGGAGTGGCCGGTGTGGTGGCTCATGCCTGTAATCCAGCATTTTGGGAGGCTGAGAGGGTGAATCACATAAGACCAAGAGTTCCAGACCAGTCTGGCCAACGTGGTAAAACTCCATCTCAACTAAAATTAATAAAAATGGCCGGGTGCGGTGGCTCACGCCTGTAATCCCAGCACTTTGGGAGACCAAGGCGGGCGGATCACAAAGTCAAGCGATCAAGACCATCCTGGCCAACATGGTGAAACCCCGTCTCTACTAAAAATACAAAAATTAACCGGGCATGGTGGCACATGCCTGTAGTCCCAGCTCCTCGGGAGGCTGAGGCAGCAGAATTGTTTGAACCCAGGAGGTGGAGGTTGCAGTGAGCTGAGATTGTGCCACTGCACTCCAACCTTTCAACAAAGAGAGACTCCATCTCAAAAGTAAAAATAAAAATAACGAAAATTAGCCAAGCATGGTGGTGCACACCTCTAGTCCCAGCTACTCAGGAGTCTGAGGTGGGAGAATGGCTTGAACCCAGGAGGCGGAGATTGCAGTGAGCCGAGATCAAGCCACTGCACTCCAGCCTGAGCAACAGAGCGAGACCCTGTCTCAAATAAATATATATTTTTTAAAAAAGGAGGCTGGGAATGACAAATGCCCATCAACCTTCTCACCCTCAGGGTTAAGAGAAAGGGGACCTTCTCAAAACCCATGACTGCCATCTGCTGGCACATGTGGTGAAACAGTGCTTTTGCGCAATGCACAGCCCTCTGTGCACTGAACATGTTGGCCCTCTCCTGCTAGAGGCCCCCTCTCCTGGCCCAGGACTGTGGAAGGTTAGGAAAAGCAGAGGTTTGGAGTGAACACACAAGGGTTAGACTTAACGTTTAAGGTTCTGGTGGGCAGGGTGGAAAAAAATGAAATAACACAAAAAACAAGGCTTAAGGTTCTAGACCTGTGTCTAAGTTACATTGGCACAGCTACCTAACCTCTCAAGCTTTGGTTTCCTCATCTGTATAATGAGGAATTGTTGTCAATCCCTGAGGGTCCCTTGAGCCCTGATACTCACCTATCCAGGGGCTTTACAACCCACTAGCTGTTGTCCCGAGACTTCATGGTGTCCTCCAGCCTTCCTGAGCCCTCCTAGAAGCCCCCGAGCCTTATCAGGTGCCCCCTTGAGAGGGTCATGTCCTCCAAGTCTCCCATGTCTCCCACAGTGCTCCTGAGCCCCATCATGCTCCATGGCCTCCAAGCCTCCAGGATCTCCCTGTGAGCCCCTGGCTCCTCAACCTGCCTCCCCAGTTCCCCATGCCCCTTGCTTGCAGCTCATGTGTGCCTCAGGTCTCATGGTGCCCTCTGTGTGCCTTCTGCCTTCCAGAGCTCTCCATGTCCCCTCTTTTCATGTCCCCATGACCCTGGTGGACCCACCTTGCTGGCGCGGTCGTAGCTGTCATGCAGCTGCAGGTGCTGGCCCACCTTGCTGCTCAGGTCCACCCACTTGCCCTTGAACCACTTGACCACGGGTGGCTTCAGGAGGCTGGCCCCAGCCACGCGGGCTGAGAAGGTGATACTGCCACCTGCGAGGGCAGGGTGACAGGCCTGGCTTGGGGAGTGTCCTGCTGCCCCCCTTCCCATCCCCTGCTGGGCACAGCAACTCACACTCACCCACAGTCACCTCGCCATCCTGTGGCCGCATCACGAAAAGTCCAATGGGGTCATCGGGGGCTTCAGGGGTGGTGCCGCTGGGAGCTGCTGAGCTTGACCCTGCGAGCAAAGGCTTTGTTTTTTCTTGAGACGGAATCTCACTCTATCCCCCAAGCTGGAGTGCAATGGCTCAGTCTCAGCTCACTTCAACCTCCACCTCCCAGGTTCAAGCGATTCTCCTACCTCAGCCTCCTGAGCTGTGGTTACAGGCATGTGCCACCATGCCCAGCTAATTTTTTGGTAGAGATGGGGTTTCACCATGTTGGCCAGGCTGATCTCAAACTCCTGACCTCAAGTGATCCACCCACCTTGGCCTCCAAAGTACTGGGATTATAAGCCTGAGCCACCTTACCTGGTCAAGCAAAGGCTTTTGAGACCTGCCCCAGACACCCCCTCCCCACAGATTCTGCCCCTCCCTGCCCCTCTCACCTTCAGGACTTGGGGCACTTCCTCCCAGCTCAGCAGCTGGGGCCGGGGCTTCTCCAGGGGCTTGAGTGCCCTCAGCAGGGGAAGGGGCAGGGGCCAGCATGGCCTCTGCCTTCTCTGGAGGGGATTGGATGGGAGTTGTGGTGTAGTCACTAACCAGAGACCCCTCTACACTCTCTCTCCCGAGCATTGGACCCCTGAGCCTGCTGTGAACGAGGAAAGTCCGTCCTGTCTGACCCCCAGTGCCCGGGCCCCTCAGAGGCAGCGCATACTGAGCTGGAGAGCCAGCCTGACTCTCACATTCTCCTCCCTGCCCCCAGCCATCAGTCCCCACATCCGCTGCACCTGCCCCTAACAGCTCCAGGTCCATTCCTGCCCTAGCTCTGCCCCAGCCTTGGAGCAGCCCCTCAGACTGGGCTGTGTGCCTTGTCACCCACACCTCCGGCAGGGCTTCCCTGCTGGCACACAAGGTGTCATCTGTGCCTGGTCATCTCCCCAGGGAGGTCTGCAGGGGGAGGGTGGGGTTGAGTCTTGTTCACCTCTCCCACCTCCAGCATGGCTAGGAGGCCAGGGTGGCATATGGGGGTACTTAGAGAGGTCATGTGCAGAAAAGGGGAAAGGGCGTTCCTGGTGGGGGGTGTGGGGGCACAGCCACAGCAAAGGCAAGAAATTGTGAAAGCACCTCCCGTTCCCTGGATGGATGAAGAAGCACCTCACTGCCCCTCCCCCCAGAAGCCTGAACCTCAGGGAAGGCTGACCAGGATCTTACCTGCTTCTATGACCTTGAGTTCGAACTTGACCTTGGAGGAGCCAGCAATGACTGCGTAGGCCCCTTGGTCAGCAGGTCCCACCTCCCGCACTGTCAGTGTGTGTCGTGTGCCCTCTGCAGCCAGGATGTACTTGTCACTGGCACTGATGTCGCTGCCTCTGTGCTGCCAGCGCACCTTCACTCCTGCCCGCTCTGTCTCGGCCTCGAACACGGCAGGGCCACCTGCTGCCACTTCCACTGACCGTGGCTTCTTGCTGAAAGCTGAGACTGAAGGGCCAGATGGAGGCTACAGCAGCCCCTAGCTGGGGCGTGCACCCCACCCCTGCAGCCCCTTTTAGTAAATACTGTGATAAGCAGTTACCATGCATCCCCTCGTGTAATACTCCTATAGTATTATTACGAGGTAGGTGCAGTTACTCTGTCATTTCTCAGAGGAGGACACTGAGGCTCAGAGAAGCTAAGTGGCTCCTCCAAGATCACACAGCCTATAGTCAGGAGAGCCAGGGCGGTGGTCCTGACCTCCACACAAGACTTTTGTGCTGTGTGTGTCCCCTGGATATGCCACTCTCCCAGCTTGGAGATAGCTGTGAGGAGCCCAGCTCCCCTCCCCCACCATCTGGGGCCCTTGGCGGGGGCAGGGAACTCTGCCTTTTTGGAATGTGGCCAAATTTGTCCTCCAGGGACCTCAGGCTGAGAATCAGCAACTGAGATAAAGCTGGCCTGGGAGGGCACTGGGGAATGGGGACCTGGATCTCTGCCCTGGACAACCTTGGTAAGGGCACGGCCCAGGCCCAGGACCCTGGGCTGTGATTTTCCCTGCCCTTGGCCTGAGTTCAGGGGCTCCTGACTGTCCTCTTTCAGAGAAGAGGGACTGTATCACCCCCAACATGGGGACCACACCATACAGGCTCATGAAGCAGATAATGTCACAACCAGGAGGAACCAACCCACCACCACACCCGCCCCAGTCCCCAGGTTGGGAGACTAAGTCCCAGAGTGGGTGGAGACTCGTCTGAGGGCACCGCGTGAGCCTGGCTGTGCTCCGCATAATTGTGAGCTCTGTCTGCGGGGATCCCTGCTGTGGAAGGAGAAGGAAATGGGGCAGGGATGGTGTCCCTTTGAGTTCTGAGTTGACCCGGCTGCTTCCTATCTTGGCTGTGTCCCCTCTCTGCGTCCCTGACCCTGGGTTTACCTTCACCTCTCATCAGAGGGATGGGAGAAAGAAACTGAGAATCAAAAAAGGACCTAGGAGGACTGGCTGACCCATCCTGGGGCTCAGTGGCCATGTCTTCTTCAGCTCCCTCAAGAACTCCCTCCTAGCCCTGCTCCCCAATTGTAGACACCCCCTGCTCCCACACTTAGACCCAACCGCAGGCCCGGAGCTACCTGGCTTCTTCCCCGGCTCAGGCATCCTGAGAGACGTCACACCAGGCACCAAGCAGGCACAGGCCACCCTAAGAGGGAGTGAGTGGGGTCCTGTCCTTCCCACTATATATGGAGACCTCCCCCCTCCCCAGGCACTGCTTATCTGCCTCTTGTCCAGCCACCTGCTAAATATAGATGAATTCCAGAGAGCTGAGGTCTCTCCAGGGAGATGGTAGGGCCACGCTGTCCCTGGCTGGCTCTTGTTCCTTCCCCCCCCCTACTCCCGAAGCACAATAGAAGGGCTTCTGCCTCCCCAACCCTTGATGAACCTCGGGGGTACCCCAAGCCTTGTGTGTGTCCTGCTCACAGCATATTGTACGGTGGGAGCATGCTTGGCCCATAACCCTGAGGCTGATGGGTCAGCAGCATCCTTGCCAGCGGTTAAGGCAGTGGCCACATCCACAGACCCTGGGGCCAGGCTGCCCCTGAGTCCTGGCACTGCCATCTCTTCTATCTCAAAGCACCTGGTTTCCTCATCTGTAAAGCAGGGCAGGTAACAGCAGCACCCACTGCACAGGATTGTCAACCTATGAAGTGGGTTTATCATTTTTAAAATGCTAGGCTGGGTAGGGTGGCTCATGCCTGCAATTCCAGCACTTTTGGAAGCCAGGCAGGTGGATTGAGGCCAAGTTTTTGAGATCGGCCTGGGCAACATGGCAAAACCCCATCTCTACTAAAAAAATAAAGGCCAAGCGCGGTGGCCCACGCCTGTAATCGGCAGATCGGGCGGATCACGAGGTCAGGAGTTCAGGACCACCCTGGTCAACATGGTGAAACCCCGTCTCTACTAAAAATACAAACATTAGCCGGGCATGGTGGTGCGTACCTATAATCCCAACTACTCAGGAGACTGAGGCAGGAGAACCCCTTGAGCCCGGGAGGCAGAGGTTGCACTGAACCAAGATCATGCCACTGCACTCCAGCCTGGGCAACGGTGTGAGACTCCATCTCAAAAAATTAAATTAAAATAAAATAAATACACACACAGAAATTAGTCAGGTGTGGTGGTGTGCACCTGTAGTACCAGCTATGTAGGAGGCTGAGGTGGGAGGATGGCTTGAGTCCAGGGAGTTCGAGGCTGCAGTGAGCCAAAATCATACCACTGCACTGCAGCCTGGATAATGGAGTAAGACTGTGTCTCAAAAAATAATAATAAAATAAAAATGGGCTGGGCGAAATGGTTCACATTTGTAATCTCAGTACACTGGGAGGCCGAGGCAGGCAGATCACTTATGTTCAGGAGTTCAAGACCAGCCTGGGCAACATGGTGAAACCCCACCTCTACCAAAAATACACAAATCAGCCAGGCATGTGACGCACACTTGTTGTCACAGCTACTTGGGAGGGTGAGGCGGGAGAATCATTTGAGCCCAGGAGGTCAAACCTGCAATGAGCCGTCTTGGTACCACTGCAGTCCAGCCTGGGAGAATAACATAATGAAGACACGATGCCAATTGCCTTCTCTTGTGTTGGGTTGCTGTGAGCCCTCTGTGGGTGAGGAGGTGTGCAGGGGTGTTTGTCCTTATGATAATGTCCCCAGAATCTGGGTTCCCTGAGGGCTTTGCGTTGGGAAGTCCCTCACTCCCATGCTGTCCGCCGCCACTTCTTGCTACCGTCTGAAGGAAGACTTGGTCTGTTTCTCTCTTGCTGTGGCGAGGAGCTAGACAGCAAACAGAACACGGGGGTCCCACCAGAGATTCACCTGAGTCTAAGGTCCTGCTGGGTGTGCAGCTGCTGAGAATGCTTTGTGGCCCACAGGAGCTTTGGGGCTTAATTCCCGCCCTCGGAATGCTGAAGAGTATCCTCTTCCAGATAAGCAAAGCCTTCTACTCCGCATTGACGTGTCGGGGACAGACTCAGAGTGTGATCCAACTTGGCCACTCAGCGGCTGTGATCTTGGGCAAACTATTTGGCCTCTACAAGCCTCAGTTTCCCATTCTATAAAATGGAGTGATACTAGACTCCACATCTCAAAGTTGGCAGGTACTAACTGACCAGAAAATCCAATGTTGTTGCGATGGTCATCATGAATTCAAACCTCATCAAGGCTTAAAAAAAAAAAAAAAAAAAAAGGCCGGGCTCACACCTGTAATCCCAGCACTTTGGGAGGCTGAAGTGGGCGGATCACCTGAGGTCAGGAGTTCCAGACCAGCCTGGCCGACATGGTGAAATCCTGTCTCTACTAAAAATACAAAAAAATAAAAATAAAAATAGCCAGCGTGGTGATGCCTGCCTGTAGTCCCAGCCACTCGGGAGGCTGAGGCAGAAGAATCGCTTGAATCCAGGAGGCAGAGGTTGTGGTGTGCCAAGATCGTGCCACTGCCCTCCAGGCTGGGCAAGAGAGTGAGACTCTGTCTCAAAAACACAACAACAGCAAAAAACCTGTCAGGAGTAGAGAGCTTTAAAACGGGATCGATTCCCCTAATCACAATTGAGGACTTGTTCTTTTCACCAAACTCTGACACCTGGTCAGGCGCTGTGTGTCACTGGTCCTGACGTCCCCAGGGTTCAGCATTGGGTACAGTCCTCAGTAAACACCCGATGGACAAATGACAAAAAAAGACGCCACAGCACACGAGGTACACGGCAAGTTTTAAAGGAGACTCTCTGTGCTGCAAAGGATGGACTGATAATAACTTTACTTGTTTTCAGGGAGGAGGTTAATGGGTGGGAGGGGTGAGGGAGGTCTGATTTACACAGGCACTTGAGATTCCCAAGGAAGTACCCCGGGTCGTCCTCAGCAAGGTTGCCCCGTGGGGTCTGCGGCCCAGGTGGCCTCCGAGGCCCAGGTGGCCTCCTGCAGCCGGGGCGGAGTCCCGGAGGGGGGCGAAGCGGGCTGTAGGGAGGGGCTGGGGGGGGTAGTGGGCGGGTGAGGCGAGGCCCGGCCCGCCACAGTCCTGCCTCTGGGCCCCGGGAGCGTCCTCCCTGTGTCCGGGCCGGGCGAGGGCTTAATGCTATGGCCAGCGGGGAGGCCTGGCGGGGCCCGGCGGGGGCTGCGGGCTCAATGGGGCGGGTGGCGCCGCTCGGCCAGGCCCCCGCGGCCCAGCACTTCGCCGCTGAACTGGTAGGTGAGCTTCTTCTTCACCTTCTTGACCTCGCCCGTCTTGCCGTAGTTGCGCAGCGCGCGCGCCATCTTCTGGTAGGTCATCTTCTTGCGGTTGCCCTTCTGGATGCCCCAGCGGTGCGCCAGTGCCTCCTTATGCTTGGACGAGAACTGGAAGGTGCCCTTGTCCTTATCCACCCACCAGATGCTGTCCTTCATGTCTCCGCTGCGGAGCAGGTCCAGCAGGAACTGGTACAAGCGGATCTTCTTCTTGCTGCCTGCGGTGGGAGGGCCCGGTGGGAGGGGGCCTGGGGCCCACGCAGGAGCCGCCCCCACCGCCACGCGCACGCACGGGGACCCGGGAACGGAGGTGGCCGGGAAAGGCAGGGAAATGGCTACCCCAGCCCGCGCCGGGTGTACACACACAACGCATCCACACTAATGCACACACACACACCTGCTCGCACACACCCGTTCACACTCACTCCCAAACATGTACCCACACCGTGTACCCACTCACCTGCTCACACACCTCGTTCACACCCACCGACAACCACACATGCACTCACACCTTGCACCACCACACACACCCACACAACGCAACACACACCTACACATGCTCACACACCCACATAACACACACCTTATACTTTCTCATGCCCCATACCCACTCACACCTGCTCACACACATCCTCATATACCTCACACCATTCACACGCACACACCCACTCACCTGCTCACACCTGCTCACACCCACGGTCACACTCACCTCACCTGTTTATAAACACACCTGCCCACACAGCTCACACCAGGTCTCACACACACTCATGCTCACACACATGCTCACATCTCACATTCGTACCCACTCACAAGCTCACACCTCACACACATGCTCACATATTACACACACACCTATTCACTCATACCTGCACACACATGCTCACACCACACGCTCACACCTCATACATGCCTGCTCACACCTCACCTGCTCACACATGTGGTTACACACGCTCACACCAGCTCATTCACACATTCACACCTCACCACACCACTCACACACTTGCACCTCACATCTGCTCACATATGCATGCACATTCTGCTCATACATCCATTCTGACACCCACACCCACCTGCATGCTTACACACATGCTCACACAACAACTCGGGCACCCACTTGCACACTCAAATGCTCATACTTGCCAACACATAAACCTGCTCACACACACTGCTCACACACCCACTCACAGCTGCTCACACACATGCATATTCATGCATGCTCACACACACCTGCTCACACACTCGAACATCACACCCACTCATATCCATTCCTTTTTTTTTTTTTTTGAGATGGAGTTTTGCTCTGTTGCCCAGGCTGGAGTGCAATTGCACGATTTCGGCTCACTGCAACCTCTGCCTCCCACGTTCAAGCGATTCTCCTGCCTCAGCCTCCCAAGTAGTTGGGATTACAGGCATGCACCACCACGCCTGGCTAATTTTTGTATTTTTAGTAGAGACGGTTTCGCTGTGTTGGCCAGGCTGGCCTCAAACATGTGACCTCAGGTGATCCACCTGCCTTGGCCTCCCAAAGTGCCTAGGATTACAGGTGTGAGCTACTGCACCCAGCCCACTCACACCTATTCTCACACACACTCAACACACCTACTGTCACACCTGTTCACACACCCACTCACATGCATACCACACACACACGCAGATGCTCAAACATGCCCTCACCCCCTCACACACAAGAACTCATACATGCTCACACCTGCTAAAACACATCCACTCAGATACATGTGCAAACCTCACATATACACATACATGCTCACACACCCCAGCTCACACCTTCCTGCTCACACTTGAACCTGCTTACATACACAAGCATGTTCACACCCACTCACATCCACTTACACACACCTGCTCCCACACTCATAACCATTCACACTCATATCACACATGCCCCCGCTCATATACACATTCACATATACATACTTGCTCACACACATGCTCACACAACACACC